ATCCCAAAGGTGAATAGACAAAAAAGAAAAAAAAAAAAAACGAATGGATGACTGATGAGATTCTTGACATGATGAAAAGGAGACAGAAAACTGCCAAGATATGGAATAGAATACAGAAAACTACACAACAAAATAAGGAACAAATGCAGGCAGGCTAAAGAAGAGTGGCTAAACAAGAAATGTGCAGAAATTGAGTACCACAGACAAAGGAGATATGCATAAACAAATAAGGGAACTGACCTGACAGAGGACATGCTCGTTAACAGGCTGCTTAAAATCAAAAGATGGAACATTCATATTAGAAAAGGAAAAATATTCTTCAATGCTGGAGTGTGTAAGTATATTGGAAGACTTTTTTCAACAAAAGAGAACAACCAGCAATACACAGATGAACCCGACATTCTAAAACCTGAAGTAGAAGCTGCACTGGCCAAATTGAACAGAAACAAGGCAGAAGGGCTGAATAGAATTGTAATAGAAATACTGACAACCTTAGATGACTTTGGCATAGACAAGATCACAGAAATAATAAATGAAATCTTCAACAGTGGGGATATACTGGAAGATCTCATCAGATCTATTTTCATGGCACTACCTAAGAAACCAGGCACAAACGAATGTGAGCTCCACCAAACAATCAGCCAATTATGAGCCATGTAACAAAACTAATTATCCATATTCTGATGAATAGAGCACACAGTAGTATCAGGTCAGAGACAGGACAAGAACAGTGTGGGTTCATTAAAGACACAGGAACAAGGAATGCAATATTCATGCTCAGAATGTTATCAGGAAGAGCAATCCAAATACAGAAGGATGTGTACCTATGTTTTATAGACTACACAAAGATGTTCGACAAAGTACGCCATAAGGATCTGTTGGAACTGCTCAGCAACTTTGGTATATTTGGGAAAGATATTAGCATAATCAAGAACCTATACTGGCAGCAAACACCATTCATGTGCATAAAGAAGGTGTTCAGCAAATATACTAAAATAGAAAGGGGCATAAGGCAAGGATGTGTCTTCTCACCAGACTTATTCAACCTATACAGCAAGGCAATTCTGAGAGAATTGGAAATCCTACCAGGATTCAGCATTGGCAGCCATAAACAACATAAGGTATGCAAATGGCACAGTACTGATAGCAAACACAGAAAAGAAATTACAAAACCTCCCACAGAAGGTAGTGAAGGAGAATAGGAATAAGGGACTAACCATAAACTACAAGAAGACAGAATGCATGGTCATCACTAAAAGGATGAGCCTGAAATGTAATTTGCAGGACGGGGACACTACAATCAAGCGGTAAGTGCGATGGTGAGAACCAAAGACATATTGTGATGGCCAAGGATAAATTCCAAAAACTGGGCGGAGTACTGCAAGACAAGAGGGTTTCTTGGATAACAAAGAAAAGAGTACTGAGCTGCTACGTGATGTCTGTCCTTCTTTACTGCAACGAATGTTGGATAGTCTCCTCAAAAATGAAGAGATTTGAGGCAATAGAGATGTGGTTCTACAGAAGGATACTGAGGATATCATGGACCCAGTATGTGAACAACAATGAGGTTTTGGAGAGGGTGCAAACAAGGAGGAAGCTTATACTTAACATCAAGAAGAGGCAGATGAAATTTCTGGGACATGTAATGAGAAAGTCGGACCTGTAGAATCTGATACTCACAGGTTGAATAGAGGGAAAGAGAGACAAGGGAAAGCAATGCATGACATACCTGGTGGGCTTAAGCAAGTGGATGACAGAACATGGTCTGGGGGAGGTGTCAGAGGGACAAAACCTCTTGAGAGCTACAAAGGATAGAAGGAAGTGGAGAGCCATGATCACCTACATGCTGAAGGGACATGGCACATAAAGAAGAAAGAAGAAAAAAGGTTTGGGGGGTGGGTGGAGAGAAAGCTTTAATTTAAAGGAATAGAAAATAGTGAAGGTGAGTGACATATTCAAAGTGTTCCAAAATGTACTTTTCAATCCCCCCACCCCCACCCAATTCACTACATTTAATTTTTTTTTGTAAATCAAGTTCCATATACTATTTTGTAAATTTTCTCAGGCAGTTTTCTTGTTCAGCCATCAGCAGCTTTGTGTTCAAGTTGAATCTTTATTTTCCCTTTATTTGATTTCCATTATGCACTCATAATGAAAACATTTAAATGATTGCAGAATATAGCAGGAACTCCAGACTGTGTCATGATTAAATTCCAAGTTTTAGATGCTTTTTGTTTATGAACAATCAGGTGATACAAAATGCAAGTCTTGAATACAATAGAATCATACACACACACAGCTAACATTGAGTGCTCAATGGAGTTTGTGACATAATGTACACAAACACAAGAAGTGGATGGAAGGGTGGGGAAGCAATGCTCACATTCAAGAGACATCAGTACTGAATTAGAAAATGTCTGAAAAGCTGATTAAGCCAAGGCAAGACAGCAGAGCTAAAGAAATATTACAACTGGTAGAAGGTGATGCGCCTAAGAATATGATAGCAGGCCTATGAAGCAATACCCAATGTATACAATGATATCTAATGTTGGAAATTCTACAAGGAAACAGAAGTTATTCCAGTTATTATCTTTGTTTTTGTCATTTTTTTTTTTAAATTTCAGTAGATACACTTTGTGTGTGTGTGTGTGTGTGTGTGTGTGTGTGTGTGTTAGTTAATCTAGTAATCATCAAGTGTATACATGTTTAGAAATTGAGGGATGAATATCAGACTTCAATCAACAGAATAAGATTTATCACCGATATAAAAACTATTCCTGCAACAGATTAGTCTAATTTTATTGAAAATATATACACAATTTCAAGAACGAAAATTAAGCTACACATACATTTTTTTTTTTAGATTAGAATCTTTGAACGTAAGAATAACTCAGAAACAATGGTTTACTATGAGTAATTGTATCCTATCTCATGAAATAAAATATCAACCAACTTCACAAACAGAAGCAATATTGAAAGATTTGAGTTTTAAATATTTAAAATAAAAAAAATAAAAATCTTGTCAGCATAAAAAGATAATGAGAAATAAAACTTTGAAATTCATTAACTTTAAATATTAAAGTTAAAGATTTTATTATAAACTAAAGCAAAATAGATTTTAATAATGCATGCTAAGTCACTAACAAACTTTTCTAAAAAGTAGTTTCTAAGTAGCTTCTTCACTTAAATATTACTGATTAAAAACATTTGTTCTTACAATAGTTTCTATATTATTAGTGTTATTGATGGAATACAGGCATACAATAAGATTTATGTCATATAAAAGTATATAGAACAGATTACTGCATGTCTGAAATTAAGGATACAATTCAAAGGCAAATTATTTTTATAGATTTGTAATTTTTTTTTTTTATAAATCTTTCAATATTTCAAAGCAGTTATAAAATATATTTTAAGAATTCTGAATTGTGGTATTTACTCTCAATGAACCACAATTTGTTACTTATGTTTATAAATGGTTCTTAGAAAAGTTTTTATCGAAAGTAATCATTTTGTCATATTTTCAAATTCAAAGTTATTATTAATAATAATAATTCATTTTTTATAATTAGGTTATTCTAACATTGAATTTGAACTTCATCTACTATTTAAAACAAGAGTTGTATCAAAGACAACTTATAAAGTTGATGGCAAATATTTCAGTGGTAAACTGGATTAATAATTAGAATTATTGTTGAATGAAACGATACCCATGTAGCAATTTTCTGTTATATATTATTCTGTTAGCAAAAACAAAAATACATAAATAAAATAATCAAGTACAGATTATTTTTTAATTAAAAAAAAAAAAAAAAAAAAATTATTGGTCAAAGTCATTTGAAACTCAAATTTTCATGGCCATCATTTAATCATGAGTATTTTAGTTTTTACAGTTATAAATAAAAATCTGTAATGTTTACTTTTATTATTAGAAATAATTATTTTATGCAAAGATAATGGAATAGTAAGGCATCTGGCTACATGCTTTTAGCATACTAATTTGTTAAATAACTCATGCAAAGCACCTGTTTTATTCAAGCATTTCAAGCAAATACATTGTTTATGACAGAACTAAATTACAAGTAGTTTTATTTGTAAAACAGACACTATTCTTTAGTTATATTCTAGTTTCAATTATTATGCATTTTGTATAATTTCAATAACTATATGGATGATGATGATGAAAAAAGGTTATAATTGTTAATAAGTTTAACATCCAGAACTGAATCATAATTTATTTATACTATTAAATATTACAAACATTATTACAGTTTTATTAGTATAACTGGATTAGTTAGCATATTGAAATTGGCAATGAAAATATATATTAATTAAATAAATGAGTTCATTTTAAATGTAAACATCTTTGTTTCAATATATCTAGGACATTATGTAAGGAGAGTAAGTGAGTGGATATTTAAATGAAAATCTTAAAATTTAAAATCTTATAGAGAGCAAAGTGTTGAGATTCAAAAGAAAAAGGGTGGGAATAATAAAACTAAGTATAACATTAAATAAGATAAAAAAAAGTTTTTATAGGCTTATAGTTAGTTGATTTCTAATAATTTTATATGTAAATCTATCTTCATTAAAAAAAACTCCCACTTCTTTTTCATACACATTTGTGAAATGATGGGATGGTGAAAAATGTTGGGTGCCGTTTGCATATCCCATCCACTCATTGCCCAACAAGCTAAGAAGCATGCATGTTTGTGGCTCACTGTTGCCATCACATAATGGAGAATATTCCATCTGCAAGGAGGCAATTCATTTGCGAAAATTGTGAAGAACAAGCTTCAGGAAAAGAAAACAAGGCATAAAAGAAAACTTGAATTGAAGAGCAGCACACACCATGCAGTTTACCTTTCATAGATGCTGACCGCTTCACTTTGGCAGACCTGGAATTATTACTCTTGTTTCCAACTGATGAGGATTATTTTTTTATTTTTTTTAGAATGGAGAGAAAAAAAAAAAAAAAAAAAAAAAACAGACTAAAAATTCTAAAAAGAAAAACAGAATTCAAGAAGAGAAATAAATATGTAAGGGAAAGAGTGAATAAAAACTATTAGAATGAAAGAGAGAGAGAATGAAAGAGAGAGAGAATGAAAGAGAGAGAGAATGAAAGAGAATGAAAGAGAGAGAGAGAAAAGAGAGAGAGAATGAAAGAGAGAGAGAATGAAAGAGAGAGAGAATGAAAGAGAGAGAGAATGAAAGAGAGAGAGAATGAAAGAGAGAGAGAATGAAAGAGAGAGAGAAGAAAGAGAGAGAGAATGAAAAGAGAGAGAGAATGAAAGAGAGAGAGAATGAAAAGAGAGAGAGAATGAAAGAGAGAGAGAAGAAAGAGAGAGAGAATGAAAGAGAGAGAGAATGAAAAGAGAGAGAATGAAAAGAGAGAGAGAGAAATGAAAGAGAGAATGAAAGAGAGAGAGAATGAAAAAGAGAGAATGAAAGAGAGAGAGAATGAAAGAGAGAGAGAGAGAGAGAGAGAGAATGAAAGAGAGAGAGAAGAGAGAGAGAGAATGAAAGAAGAGAGAATGAAAGAGAGAGAATGAAAGAGAAAAGAGAGAGAAAGAGAAAGAGAGAGAATGAAAGAGAAAGAGAGAGAATGAAAGAGAGAGAATGAAAGAGAAAGAGAGAGAAAAGAGAGAGAATGAAAGAGAGAGAGAGAATGAAAGAGAATGAAAGAGAGAGAATGAAAGAGAGAGAATGAAAGAGAGAGAATGAAAGAGAGAGAATGAAAGAGAGAGAATGAAAGAGAGAGAATGAAAGAGAAAGAGAGAGAATGAAAGAGAGAAAGAGAGAGAATGAAAGAGCAAGACACAGAATGAAAGAGAAAGAGAGAGAATGAAAGAAAGAGAGAGAATGAAAGAGAAAGAGAGAGAATGAAAGAGAAAGAGAGAGAATGAAAGAGAAAGAGAGAGAATGAAAGAGAAAGAGAGAGAATGAAAGAGAAAGAGAGAGAATGAAAGAGAAAGAGAGAGAATGAAAGAGAAAGAGAGAGAATGAAAGAGAAAGAGAGAGAAAAAGAAAGAGAGAGAATGAAAGAGAAAGAAGAGAGAAAGAGAGAATGAAAGAGAAAGAGAGAGAATGAAAGAGAAAGAGAGAGAATGAAAGAGAAAGAGAGAGAGAAAGAAGAGAATGAAAAAGAAAGAGAGAGAATGAAAGAGAAAGAGAGAGAATGAAAGAAGAGAGAGAATGAAAGAGAAAGAGAGAGAATGAAAGAGAAAGAGAGAGAATGAAAGAGAAAGAGAGAGAATGAAAAAGATTTTTATTCCAATGTTCAAAGACATGAGAAAAAAATGTACATGAATCACTGTATGTTTTTTAATTTAGGCAGAAGGACAGCTGTGCAGAGTTTCCCTTATGTTGCTTGAATCAAATTTCAGTTTTGTAGAAGACAGCAGCATTTCAACTAGTCTGTTCTCCAGTAATAATCTTTTAAAATGTATGATAAAAAAAGTAAAAAAAAATGTAGAATCTGTTTCTAATTAAATACCTGGCGATGATCAAGGGTGAATCAGTAAGAAATTCATGCTGGAAAAAAAAAACTTCTCCAACAATAAATTTATACATGGAAAATCAAGTACTTAAAATACAAAGCATGAAATCATGACAATTAATTTGTCACCTTGTGAAATCTTAATTAGTGAAGAAAAGAGAGTGTGTGTGTTTTGTTTAAAACCATGTTTAATATTATACTAAAATTTTAGGTTCTTGGCATGTTTTTAATGTGCATCATATTCAAAATCTGATAATTTTGACATTAGAAGAAAAACAAAATATTAAATAGGTTAAAGAAAAAAAAAAAAAGTTATGATCACTTTTTAAGTGAACTTCCAAAACAATGCATACATTTATTCAGCCACTATTCTTTTTTTAATTCTGACAATTCAGAAAATCAGCTTTTAAGACATCTTGTGGGTATTATATATGCGTGCGTATGTATGTGTGTGTGTGTATGCATGTATGTATGTGTATATATATATATATATATATATATATATATATATATATATATATAGAGAGAGAGAGAGAGAGAAAGAGAGAGACACGCACACAAGCAAGTGGCTTGAAAAAAAAGTCTTACACTTAAAGAATTTCTATGCTTGTTAGATATAGACATACATACACATAGGACATGAAGAAATAAGTTGATTTAAAGATGATTGCAAAATATGCAGAGTAAAGCATTTTAAACAAGGAAAAAAAAGAACCAATTGTTACAAAAAAATTGTTAATTTTATATCAACCGCTTTCTTAAACATGACGAAAAATTCATTTACTTTTTTTTTTTTTGCAGGAGTTTAAACTTAATCATAAGGCTCCTTTAAATTGCTGTCACTTGTGAATACAGAGTATGGCACTGGTTTCTTAAGTCCCATAGTCAGGATATGAGTCTTTAAGATCAAAGTGATAGAAGATACCTATCAACAATTGAAAATCAATGTCTAAAAATTACTAGGCAAAAAAAAAAAAAAAAAAAAAACCTACATGAAAGTGTCAGAGTATTGTCTCAGATAATGGATGTTAGCATTTCAACATCTGACAAGGTGAAGAAATTTGATACATGTGTGCCATATAAAGTCTGTGAAAGTCAAAGAGTACAACATTTTGAAGTATTTGATGTTGCATCTATGAAATTTGAATGATCCATTTCTTGATTGAATAGCAACTTGTGATAAGAAATGGATCCTTTATGGCAAATGTAAATGATCAGCTGTCTTGATAATGATGAAACACCCAAACACTTTCTAAAACCAAAAATGCACCAGCAGACTATGGTGATGTTACGCGTTCCACCATTGAAATTATCCATTACAGCTTTCTAGAATCTAAGCAGAACATTATTGCCAAAGTTTGCTGCCAGCAGCTGGATAAAATGCACATTCAGTAAAGTCAAATGAAACTGGTAATAGGTAATCAATAAATTCCAATTTTGCTTTAAGGAAATGCTTGGCCACATGTTGCTATGATGACACTGAAGCTCAATGACTTGGGATATGAGACTCTGCTACATTCATTACATTCCCCTGATCTCTTACCTACTAATTACCACTTTTTCAAGCAATGAGTATTTTTAAGCCAAAAAACACTTGGTTGCAAACATGCAGAAACTGCATTTAAAGATTTCTTAGCATCCAAAACTCTTATTGCAAAGGCATAAATAACCTTGTAACTCAATGGCAAAATACATAGATGTTCAAGGTTCCTAACTTGACTGATTTAAATGCTGTTTCAGGATCAAAAGTTGATTAGAAAAAAAATCATACATCAACTTAATATAATTCACAGCAGTGAAATATGTAGTTGCTTACCTAACACCCTAAGGTGTGTGTGTGTGTGTGTGTGTGTGTGTGTGTGAGAGTGAGAGAAAGAGGGCTTAGCTGAAAAGCTCTCAGCTTGACTAAGAAACTAAAAGGAAGAAGCCCCTTCTGTATGACAGCTGAGCTATTTTCAGTCAAGTGATAAGGTGATTTCCCCATAATCATCGAGACCTTAGTAAATCACTCTTTGTAGCACTCTCTAAGAAACCAGGTGCAAATGAATGTAAGTTACATCAGACAATCAGCTTAATGAGCCACTTAACCAAAGTAATAATCCATATTCTGAAAAATAAAATTTAATTCAGAATTAGACCAGAAATAGGATAGTGTGGTTTTGTCAAGGACAATGAAATAAATGTTATATTCATAATCAAAACAATATTGGAGACAGCAATAAAAATGCAGAAGAATATACAATTATGTTTTATAGTTTATGCAAATCATTTTATAAGGTAAAAAGAGCTATTTGAACTATTAGGAAAACTTAGCCAAGGATGTTTGAATAATCTAGAACTTGTACTGTGTACAGATAGAAAATGAATTGAGTAGAATACACAGAACTAGAAACTGGTGTAAAACAAGAATGTATCTTCTCAATGGATTTATTCAGTCTCTACATCAAAGTTATCCTAACGGAGTTGGAGACACTACCAGGATTTATTATGAGATGGCACAGAGTTGATGGCAAACACAGAAAGAAGACTAAAGGACCTCCTAGACAGGATAATCAAGGAAAGCGAGATGAAAGGACTATCAACTGTAATACAACATGTATGGTTGTCAGCAAGTGAAAAAAATCCCAAGATGTTAACTACAAATTGGAAATGTCAGTATCAAACAAGTACAGAAGTTTAAATAACTGGGAAGGTTTCGACAGAGGATGGAAAAATGATTTCAAAATATGAATGAACTTTGGGAGAGCAAAGAGTACCTTATAAAAGGATAAGCGAAGTACTAAGAAATGGGAACATTTCATTAGAAGCAAAGAAAAGATTTTGGAACTGTTATGTAATATCAATCCACCTTTATGGCAGTGATTGCTGGATATTCTCCACACAGATCAGAAAACTGGAGGCAACAAATGTGGTTATACAGAAAGATGCTGAGAATACTAAGGACAGAGTACATAAGCAACAAAGAAGTCTTAAGGAAAATGGAAACAAAAAGGATAAAAATATTCAGAATCAGCAAGAGAGCTGAAACTTCTGGGACACATGAGGAAGAGGGCCTAGAGAATTTGATACTCACAGGACATATCAAACGCAAAAGGTACAGGGGAAGGTTGTAGCCAACCTACCTGACAATCATGTGCAAATGGATGATAGAATTGTTGGGAAGGTAGCATGAGTCTTGGCAAAGGGACAAAAAATGCCATGGGTTACAAAGGATAGGAGGTTATGGAGAGTCATGATCACCCGTGTAGTAAAGAAACACGCTAATTGGAAAAAAAGAGAAAAAAATATCTATTAAAAGTATTTCAACAGCATATGGAAAATAAACTATACGCACAAAAATGCAGTCAATTCTCAATGTAAATAAATGAATTAGTTATTAGAAGACAGAGTATTAAATACAATAGACAGTGAATATGTTAAGCCTAAAGAAAATAGAACCTAACATTACATCTAATTCTTATTTTAGTGGTAAAAAATGCATTCAAATAGATACGTAAAAATCTGCAGAAAAAAAAAAAAAAAAAAAAAAAAAAAAAATCAATATTTACATACAAAACCAAGCAAATATAAAAGAAAGTAATCCTAACAAATGTCTTTTAATGATATTACCAAAAATCTCCATCTGTAATAATTGACAATTACAAGAAGCTGCAGAAACTAAACAGGTTAACAGTATTTATAAACAGGAAGAATTGACACTTAAGTAGCCTGTCATAGATTAAGGGTTTGCAAGCTATTCACACAAATTGCTGGAGTCACAGGTTCTATCCTCACTAGGTGTTCAATTATTGTGGCCATGCCTAGTGAATATTTATAATGGACATACTTTGTATTTTAAATACTGATTTTTCAAGGCAGGTTGTCCTTACTTGGATTACCACTGTACCTTTCCAGTAAATACCTGACTGCCAGTTATCCCATAAAAGAGCCAGATCAGGCCAAAAATGGAGTAGACTGCCACATATGGGCAGAGGTATCTAGTCTTAATAAAGACCAAAATTATCTCTGCAGCCTTGCTGTTCTATCACTATTTTCATGGAGTGTTCAGATGAACTACATTCTTCAATTCCCCAAATTTTAATGATCATGGCTAAGACTTGCCATGCCACACACATTTTATTCAACTGCTTATTCTCTTTGTATTCCATTGGTTTGGTTTCTTTTACGGCATATCAACCTCAATAGGTTATTTAATGCAGATAAGATTTTTATTGCTAGTAATATTTTCCTTTTTCAAAAATTTACTGATGGTAATAATTTTTACAAAAATGTATTGCTGGTATTAAAACCTATTTTTATATTTTCATAGTGTTTTGACCCTTTGGGGGAGGGTAACTATTTGCCCATAGCTGGAACCCTGACAGGTGCTACCACCCCAGGTCAGGGTGGGCCTGGGAATGCCAGCAATTAAGAGGTGCTTCCACGCTCCTCAAAACCACCTGATTGAAGGCCTTGCTGTCAAGTGTAGTTTATCATATTACCCAGGACAGTAGTTAGATGAAAGTTCTACTCAAGCAGGTTTTTCCCCATGAACTGCTGCTTTGTGGAACAAACTCCGAAGATGATACTTCCCTGATTATTACAATCTTGACCTGTTCAAGTCTAGAGTCAACTTATCTATCTTCCTGGCATCTCCCCATAAACTGCACCTCTTACTCTGTACTCTCCACCTTACAAAGGGTGAACATCGTTATAAAAAGAAAAAGGGGAAGATAATCTGAGCAGATGGATAATGAATCATCGACATGATAAAATATGAACTAAAGAGCTTCAAGAAATATATACTAATAAACTTGAAAGAACTGCTGAAATCATAGACAAAAGAGAAGCAGAGGCCATCCATCATTGTGGACACTGGAAAAGTTTGTACCAGTGTCTTTAAGTCAACTGTAAGAAGTATGCTTTGTTCCATAAATAGGTCATACACTTTCATCATATCCTTCAAAACTTGAGCCTGGTTGGGGTTGGGTGCTAGTGTGTGTGTGTGTGTGTGTGTGTGTGTGGCAAACTTTTTCCTCGTGTCCACAATGATATATGGACTTCTGCTTCAGATACTTGTCCCATTTTTGTTGATGATTTCAGCATTCTTCAAAGTCTTTGTCAGCATGTAGTTTCAACATATTCCTTGATCATGTGAAGAAAAGACTTCCCTTCCTGCTCAGATTAATGAATAGTTGATATCTGAGCTATTTGACTCAATTATAATTTGCTTCAGGAAGAATTTATAACACCTTGATTTTGTGATGTTAAATGTTTTTCTTTGATGTAGAAACTTTTCCTTCTCAACCTTAAACAATGAGAATGAGAAGTCAACATTAGCAATTAAAATTACAGCACAAAGCAGGAAAACTATAGCTGTCTTTTAGAGATAAATGTACAAGAATATTAAGGATAAATAGCAAGAGATGCTGAATATGCAAAAACAGGGATAAAGATAAGATTAAACAATATTACCAAGGTATTTTTTATGCAGCACAAGTGGTATGAATTACATTGAAACGAAAAGTAAAGATGTGGCAGCAAGAAAAACATTCCTGTAAGAAGAGTCATAAATATGAATCATCAAAATTCATTTATTAAAGTGTCAACTTACAAGAGTATTAAGTAATAGAGCAGAGTCTTAAAAACTAAAACATCCAAGATTCTATCTAAATTGCTTAGCTAATTAGTTTGCTTATCACACATGTAAATAAAAACAAAAAAGTTAATTCTGGAACAGCTATATATGTCTACCAAAATATACAATTCTAAATAAATTATTTTGCTATATTTGTGGAATAGTTATTTTTTCAAATCTCAGTCTCTATAGTGTCAAGGTATTTTTCCCCTTGGGTATAAAGCAGTAGTGGAACCAATCAAAGAATAAAAAGGTAACCACCAGGTCTTAAGCTTTCTTATTGTATTGTGACACTATAAGAATGCTAATAATTTGAAGAGAGAAAAGACTTAAATCAAATCAAAAGTGAACACAAAAGCAAAGAGGGCCATAAATAGATTGAAGGACATAAAAGCAAAGAAAAAATATACTTTTGTTTTTTTTTTCATTTCATGAGTAAAATGCCTTGCTAGAAGATAGCACTGAAATCCACTTGGACATCTGGTTAAAGCGAGGCCCAAGGTACGGCGTTAGGGGAGTACGGTAACATCTGCAAATCAACCAGGACTGGCATTTCTGGGCCATTAGCACCCAGCTTGCTACAAATAATAATTTTTATGGTTATAAGTGGTGAAGAAGAGGGTAAAGAAATGATTCTATGTCACTTGTTGATAGGGGTGCAAGGTGTTCATGTTGCTGGAGAACTGAAATTTCTTTAGGTACAATACAGAACTCTCAAATGACGAAGAATTCAGTCAATTGGTAAGATAACAGTTTGAACAAGCAAGAGAGGAATTAAAATTGTCCAATGGGAAAATTCTAAAAAATATCAGAACTTTATGACAAAAGGGCAATCTGATGATGTGAGTTGAAACAGATAATTTTAATTAACAAACGTGTACTAGTCATGCCACCCAGTTGAAGGAGAAAGACTGCACCCATTGTGGGGTATTGGTATAAGGTACAAATAAGAGGAGGAGGGAGTGGGGCTGGTCAACGCCCTGCTACCACTACTTTCCAGAGGAAGGATTCCCAAAATTTGGTTATGTAAATTGCTTCCCAGGACACCATCAGCAGCAAGTTCCGATTGGATATTTGGAAAATCCTGGAACCCCAGATCACATCAGACCCCGCCCCGATGTTGGCAGTAGCAGTTGAGGTAGAGACACACTTTCATTACACCAAGAAGAGATGATTGCTTCGCCAATCCCCATGTGACTTGCTGCCACTGAGAACTCCCAGCTCATGCCTTGGTTTGGTTTGTTTTAAGACATATCAGCCTCAATGGGTTATTTAATGCCGACAAGATTTTTATTGCTGGTAATATTTTTTAATTTTTTTTTCAAAAATGTATTGCTGGTAATATTTTTTTTTTTTCAAAACTTTATTGCTGGTAATAATTTTTACAAAAATGTATTATTGCTGGTATTAAAACCTATTTTTACACTTTCAGAGGTTTTGACCCCAGTTTGGGGGGTTAACTATTTGCTCATAGCTGGCAGCCTAACAGGTGCTATCACCCTGGGTCAGGGTGGCCCTGAGAACACCAGGATTTAGTGGATGGTTCTAAGCTCCTCAAAACCTGATCAGAAACCGAGTGTAATTCATCGTCTTACCCAGGACGCTATTGCCTTGTTCCAGATTATTAGATAAACTGAGCAGAGTGTCCTAATGAAATTACAAAAGGAAGAATTGGCAGTCTCTATATAACGACAGAGAGGGAGAAGGGGGAGACAAGTGCTTAATCAGCATTCTGTAATTGGCTGCCTAAAGAAGTCTGACTTAAAGCTTGAAACCCCAACTCCAACTTGAGAACAAAGAACAAAGAATCACAATATTACAAGGGAATGGTAGTTAGCCTGCATGCTTGTAGATTTTTATACGAAAAAGTGTTCCTGTATATTTCAGTTATATAAACCTTATTGATCTACATAACTTTCTTTTTGTCTTATTACATCATCCCACCTGAACAACATCATTAATTCAGCGATATCTGGTGATGATTCAATCCTTGCCTGCCTTGTGATCAAAACAAACACAACATGAGATAGTGAGAGGCTTGCATTGAAGTGACAAACTCCATGGTTAGATGCAGGATTCAATAATGGACACACCAGTGACCGAGGATGGGACGGCATTATCATTAGCTCAGTGACCACAATGTCCCGCAGCGTTATAGTAATGCCAGAACAGAATATTTCTGCTATTCTCAAGTTTATGGAGATTACTTGGCTTGATCATATATAACTTGTTGCATTGGAACATGGACAATCCTTTTTGTGTCCTAGTTGACATGAATATGGGTGCAATTTGGTATTTTCTACTAGGAAAGGCCAATTTCATAACAGTTAATGATTTGATCTTGATAGTAACCTTTTTACCGGATTAATGCTTTTTATGTGTTCCAAGAAAGATGATTCCATATCAACCAGCAATGATTCTTCCCTGATCTTGAGGTTATAATGCTTTTTAAAGCTTTAAAATCTTTATTGCTCTTCTCCACTCCTTCACAGTAATGTTCACACAGAATAATTTCCCCCGGCAGGGATATGTTTCTGCACCATGTTCACTAGCCATACATTTAATGTTTTCACAGTCTTTACAAGCAGAGTCACCATTTTTACCATTGCTGTTAAAACATTTCTGCAAATGTCACTTTTTTTTTTATTGCACATATCTCATTTCCCACTCAATTTCTGTATTACTTTGACCACTCACATGATTTTCAACTGATCCAAAATTTGCAATTTTTGTTAGAGAGCTAGGATTCCTCTAGTTTTCTTAGGCTTTACCTCATTAAATTTAATACTTTTACTATCAAACATTTTTAGAGTCATTTTTTTTTTTTTTTTTTACACAAAAGGAGGAGACAAAAAAACACAGCATAATTAGCAAATTGTATAAGCTCTTTAACTCTTTAATGCAAAGGAGAAAATTCAGGAAAAGGAGGAGCTTTTTATAATTTTTGAAATCTTAATATTTTCTAACCACACATGTTAAAAACTTAAATTTCCTGCTTAAGTAATAAAAAATAATGTTCAAATATATGTTTTACCTCCTCTTTATAAAAATTTTACACTAATACATCAAATTTTGTTTGAAACTAAATGGAGTTATTTTATATAAATAATAATAAAAAAGTCTTTCAATTTTTATAAATTATCAAAAAATATTTATATAAACACTGACAAAAAATTTTAGAATGACCACACAGGATATTAACTCCACTCCTTATTTCATTATTTTTATAATTTTTTTAAATTATCAAAAGACGTATGATTTCTAATTTTTGCATTTGGTGTGTTTATTTTTGCTTGTCCTGTTTGTTTGACAAATTTTCCAGCATGGCCATAAAGCTGGATTATCTGGGGAAAAAAAAAATTGCTTTCTACAAAAGATGAATGCTAAAAACTAATTGGCCCAGTCAAAAAAAAAAAAAAAAAAACCATCCAAGACCTATAAGATTTATAAAAAATATCAGAAATTTATTGAAAGGAATAAGCTAATAGCCTCAGCAGCTCTCCAAGAAATGTATCCCTGGTGATGTCAGATATAAAAACAATGAAACTTGTGCAAATAAACAGCAAGGCTTTTGACATGGTAGTGAAAACAACATTCCAGTGCAATACATATGCTGGAGGAGTTTCACAATGAGTTATACTTACAGACAAGAATATGGGGTGGAGAGAGAGAGAGAAAGAGAGAGAGAGAGAGAGAGAGAAAGAGAGAAAGAGAAAAAAAAAAAAAAAAAAAAAAACAACATTACCACCTATAATACCCCTATAGACATCAGAGATAATCCCCTAGGTGCCTTCTCTGTGATGCTTGAGTGTCAAGCAGGTATCCTCCATAATCGGAAAATCCAGCAGTTTTATGGAAGACTTATGATTGGCATGTGACTCTTATCTACAGGGTATATCTGACTACATTCCCAACATTTTGCTGTTAGCTACATTGCTAACTGAAGCACTTGGCAAAATTATGCTGCATCATTTCTGGGGCATAAGAAAAAGTGTTTGTCATCCCCTATTCCTCAATTCCCAGGAAAAAAAAAAAGAAAAGAAAGATGGATGGACTAAAGTCATGAAAAGCAGAACAATCTGTACTACTTCTCACGGCCAAGAAACAGCAAAGAAAATAAGTAAACCGTACAGCAGGTAGGAGCAGCAGCAACCTCTAAGAGATAAAGACACAGCTTTCAAAAGATCTACAGATGAATAAAAAGCTGTAGAATAAAAACTAACAAAATAAGCCACATCCTATTCTAAGAAAAGAAATGAGTAAAAAGGAGAAAAAAAGCTTGCAGTTTACAATAACAGCCAATTCATAACCCACACTCAAGATTGTTGAATTAACTACTTCCCCATCCTCTCCGTCAAGAATGGCAACAAAGACCTTTTCTCCTGCTTCCAATGAAAAAGGGAGTCCCCAATTCCATCCTCTACCATGAGAATATTTGAAAACAGGATGGAATATAACAGGTGAACCTTGGAAACAGACCTGCCTTGATACCTGAAGATTTCCCTGAAACCCTTTATGCAATTAGTTATGATGGCAGGAGTGTTAAGATAACCTGGAGAACTTTCCAAATGCTTCCAACAAACTAAAATCCCCAATATTAGAAGGATCATGATGAGCAACAGGCTTACAACTGAACATAGTTCAGAATATCATTGTAGACCACTCTTCTCTCAATAGGTCCTTTCACTCCTCACAAGTGAGTGAGCTTGTCTATGCTTAGGTAAGTTGCCAAGGAACATTTTCAGATCATTAGCAAATATCTATATATAGATGATATCACACTTTAAGGACACCTCCAAAAATAAAAAAAGATTGAAGTTTTGCAGCTGATCTTTTCCACTAACAGCTCAAGTAGGGAGGGACTGGCTTATAACTTTCAATACATCAAAAATTGTGTTAGTAGCATTTCATCATCACCATTCTGACTTAAGAGCTTTCTCCAGTCATGATTAACGGTCCCATTCTCAATGAGGCTCCATGCTTTGAATGTCTATATAATTAAAATTCACACCAAACCTCAAGTCTTTGCCCTGTATCATCCTAAGAATGAAGGGTTGGTAATCTTTGATTGAATATCAGAGAGATTGATAATATTCTCACCAAATATACCTTGGCCAACTTTCACATATGCAGCGACTTCAATGTTCACCACAAAGAGTGGTTAGTCCACTCAAACAAAAGCGATGAGGAAGGTAGATATTGTAGAGACTTCATCATATATCAACTAACCGAGATCATTGAAGAACCCACCAAAGTCCTAGGTCTGACGAGACAGTAAGTGAACCTCCTTGACCTTTTTCTAACATCCTGCCCTGATAAATGCTCAGTAAAAGATCATTCCCTAGTCAGTATCCAGATTAGCTCCAAACCAATGACATCCCCTGACTTACAGTTCCATGAAACAGTTTTTCACTATACAAAGGTAACTTTCAATTCTATATGATAGAAGCATCTCTCCCAACCTTCTTCAAACATACTACCCCCAAAACTGCTGGCCTAATCTCTGAATGGATCCTTTCTGGAATGGAGTGTTTTATACCCACTAAAAAAATTCCAGCAAAAACCAAAAAAAAAAAAAAAAATCAGCCCCGGTTCATCTCTAAATGTGTTTCAGACATAGTTCACCAGAATCACTACTTCAAAATCTATTGCAAGGAGCAGTGTAGTTTGGCTCTTACTTCTTTCAGAAGTGTCCACAGTTGCTGTAAGAGAGTCCTGGAAAATGCAAACTGCAGCTACGTGTGATCTGTCCAGGCCAAGATTGAAAATAAATTGGATCTTGTAAATTCTGGAAGATCACCAACCAAATTATGAACAGGGGCAAAGCAGCTGTGCCCATTATTATAAATGGTCCCAAGGTTATAATCATCCTCAATAGACAAGGTGAAGCTCTTCACCTCAATCTTTGTCATCTAAAGTTGAGTTTGAGGCAAAGGCCATCACCTCCCCAACTTCCCACGGAGCATGTCTCACAGTAATATACTCATTTTAGCAAGAGAAGTCTCTAGACTTATCAAAAAATCTTGACCCTAAAAAAGCCACAGGCCCAGACAAAATTCCAGTGGTCATCCTTAAGAGTATTAGCCCAGAATTATCCCTGATTCTAGCAAAGTTATTTAACTGTTGCTTAAAGGAGAAATTTTTCCCAATCATGTGAAAGGTTGCAAGCGCACACCTGGTCTCCAAGAACACAGGCAACCATTCCTCCCCCTCCCAATATAGACCCATTAGTCTCCTCAGTAAGTTTTTTGAGGCTTTAATCAACAAGGTCATCGAGCACCTGGGTAGGAACAACCTCTTGTGGGAGGAGTTCTATGGGTTTCCATCAGCCCAAACCACTGCTGACATCCTAACTACCATTAAACATAGAATTAGCGAGGCCCTTGACAACACACATACTGCAAGGACCATAGCATTAGATATCTCAAAGGCCTTCAACAAGTTGTGGCACAAAGGTTTCCTACACAAGCTCTCCAGCTATGGAATCACAGGAAGGGTTCTCTATTATAAAATCCCTGAAGGTAGTTATTATTGGTCAGAACTCGGAGGCCCTAGCAGTCAACAAAGGTGTCACCCAGAGGTCACTTCTCGGGCCAACCCTCTTTTGGTTTACATAAATGATCTACCTAAGAATATACTCCAATCATTTGTATGACAATATACAGGTGTACCTCTAAAAATCTTGACAATCAGAGATTGGCAGCTGATCTCTCTTCCAATCTAACACTAACTTCTCAGTGGGGGGAAAAAACTGGCTGATTACATTCAATGCTTCTAAAATCAGAACTGGTTACATTCCATCTCCATTGATTAGACCCTGAACTACCACTAGTCACAATGAACAGACGTCCCCTCAAGGAGACCACATGCCTTGAGAGGAATTCCTATATACAATCCATTGCTAAAGATGCAGATAAAATAATCAGCTTCCTGTATTGCTCCAGTAAGTACCTGACTCATGCTATCCTCTAACTTTATAAGAACCAGATCAGGCCAAAAATGGAGTACTGTTGCCATATTTGGGTAGAAACTGCCCAGCCCTCTTTCCAGTCTTGACAGAGTTCAAAAGTGTCTCAGAGTCCTTGTGGGAGAAGAATTATTTTCCACACTCCAACCTCTCTCTCCCTCTCACAAATGGCATATGGCGATCCTCTCACTGCTCTATTGCTACTACTATGGAAATTGCTCAGGATAACTGCATCTCCTGGTTCCACCAGGACAGATCTTCATGGCTAGGACCTGCCATGCCATTTACATAGTATCAAAGCACCCACATTCACCCTGTATTCCATCAGCGAGAAGTTCCACTCAAACAGCTTCATTCCATGAACCACTGCCCTATGGAACAGACTCCCTAAAAGATGCTTCCCCAATCACTACAGTCTTAACCTGTTCAAATCTAGAGTCAACTGTTATCTTCCCCTTCTGTCCATATAAACTACCCCTTATCATAACCCTCTTACCTCAAGTGGCCCCTGGGATTTGTACAAAGTGAACCTTATTGTTAAAAAAAAAAAAAAAAAAAAAATTTTACCAACTCCTTTCTCACAGATGCCATATTCAAGTCTCTCACTACTCTATTTTTTTCTATAGGAAATGTTCTAGTGAGCTCCATTCTTTAGTTCCACCAGCTCAGACCTTTACAGTTAGTACATGTCATGTGACTTACAGAGTTGAATCAAATTCGAAATATGGAGGAAATGAAGGCAAGAAGAATGTTCCACTTGGCTTTTTACCCAAGAATTGTCACTTTATGGAACAGATTCCCACATGGGTACTTTCCTGAACACTTCAATCTTGACCTATTCAAATCAAAAGGTCAATCATCAACTGCCCCCGCCCCCCATCCGAATAAGTTTTACTCCGTATAACACACATCATCGTCATGAATAACTTTCTACCTTGAGTGGCTCTCGGGCCTTATAGAAAGTGAAAAAAAAAAAAAAAAAAAAAACACTTTAGGCTAGTTGGTGTCATTGTATAAGAGAAAACATTCAATCTGCCATGCATGACTGAAGAACACAAGAGATCAGGCTAAGGTAGCCTGCCTACTCAAAGACTTCTTGTCCTTTGGAGTCGATGTGGTTGCAATTGAGAAGACTCACTTTGCAAGGCCATTTGGGATATGCTGGCTAGTGACTGCTGGTGGGGAAAATCTTACCATAAAATATGCCCAATAATAAGTTGGTTGTGACATTAGAATATAGGCTATGATCTAGGGCTGCTCTAAACAGAGCTAGCAAGGAAAAATGTAAAGCATTGAGCATGACCTACTAGGACAGGTAGTTAGGTTAAACGGACTATCCAACAAAGCTGTGAATATTAGCACAGAATTATGTAAATAGGAATAGCATCAAGGTTCCAATTGATACGTTCACTAAGATACAAGACAGGTCACCAGTTCAGACATTTACAGTTAAGACCTGCCATGCAATGTACACAAAGTCAACTCATCCTCAATCCGTTCATATTCCATTGGTAAAGAGGAAGATCCACTCAACTTATCTAGAACTGTTCATTTATGGTACAGATGTTGAAGAGGATGCTTCCCTGATCACTCAATATTAACTTTCAAGTCTAGTCATTATCTATCCTACATATCCTAATATGCACTTCTTACTTGCTGCCTTTACACACAATTTCATTCAGTAATCTACCTTGAGTGGCTCTTAGGCCTAGTAACAGGTGAATAGCATTAACAAAAGAACCTTCAGTCAGTAGATGTTTTTAGTGAAGAGTTTTAGCAACAATCCCAGCTATTTAGTCAACTTTGACTGACTCAAGTCAGCTAAAGTGACTGGCTGTGAAAAGATGGATCAGAGAGAACAAAGTTTATAATGCATTGAAACATGCTAGCAGCAAAAAGATCCTTGGTTTGGATGGCCTACTCTAAAAACTAAAGGCTATTGCAGGTTTGTTTCAATCTTTACAAATGTGTTCAAACACTAGTTCAACATGAAGCAACCCCTAGGCCAAATAACTAAAGATGTAATCACATTGTTAAGGAAGGACAAGCAGAGTAGAAAGATAATTACTTTCCCATAACTCTGAACACAAAGTTAAAGATTTTGGCCAAGATTCTGTCAAACTGTTGCAAGTGTTTGTTTGGATTGAAGCCAACTTGTGGTGTGAATAACCAAACAAACAATCCAGGACAATATACACCTGGTATACATGATCATTATA